AAGATCCGGGTTGGGTAAAAATCCTATTTATCAGCTAACTTCGCTAGTTGTAAAACAAATCAAGCATGTGATATGGCACAGCTTCTAACACTGCTGTGATTGGCTAAAAGCTCAACAGAAGGCACATGCCACTTGGTGATTTACCAAATCAGCTTGAAGAATTGTACTGAATGTCCCCCCCTTTTGTGAAGACTTTTCCCCGGAGCCTTACCTGATTGATACTGTGTTGAATTCAAATTGAGCTACATCCTGGCTTATACTAGGTTACACATGACCATTACAGATCTGACCATCTCAAATTACATAGGCAAGTTTTTGAGAAAATCAGCATGCATGGCGCATCAGTGCTGCCTAAGTGCTTTATATTTTCTGGAGAAATCAATTAATTAAATCTTATATTAAGCTAACACTTGGGTCAAAAGTGTTCCTTAATGACAAATGTTGCAGAACTAACAGATTTACAGGAAAATGGTGAAAATGCACTTCAGAGTGCCACCTGATGGGTTTATGTGCAAAAAAAAAAGAAGTGGATTTTGACGTTAGCTACACTTTAAGCGGTATTTTGGCATTAAATAAATTGTGCAGCTAAATTTACCTTAGGAATAAGAACTACCATGTTTTTCAAGAAACTTGATACATATTCAGAGGTAGATTAATGTCCAGTAAAGTGCAACAAAATGCAAGCAAAAGTCGTCGCCACAAGCTCTTCTAGGAGGAGGATTTCTTGCAAGTCAATGACTAAATGCAATCAACAATTTTTCCTAACCAACCTGACTGTATTGTCTCTGTAAAGTGCCTTCTGATTATGTGTGTTGTGTATTGGTACTATATAAATAAAATAAAATGAACTGAATTGCATTTTAGACTTAAACAGAATTATTTGTCATTTTGTGTACACGAATGTAACAAAATAAATTTAGTTAAGAACAGCTCTCCAGACAATTTATTTTTTTTCAAAGTGCAGCCTTGAAAACAGTAAAAAAACAACATAAAAACAGTAATATGACTGTATATTTACATTTCTAACATTTCATTTTTTTAAATTAATGAAATATAATAAAATACAATAAAATAAACAATTTTACAAAACACTCAGCAGTCTAATAGCAATGGGGAAGAAAGTGTTATGGAATCTGCTATTTTTTGCTTATTATTATTATTTTATTATTTTTGCTTGTAAGGTCTGTGCCCATTAATATGAGTGACAAAATAAAAACAAACTGAGGAAAACAAAAAAATTAAAAATAAATAAATCCAAGAACCTTGTATATTGTAATTGTTAGTGCTTGACTGCTTCTTCCAATTTCAGAAATCGCTGTCCAGGAGAACGTGCCACTCACAAAATGGCGGACGCGCTTACGTACCCCGTGGTCAGTGAGGCCAAAATATTTTTTCGAACCATCACTCTCCGTATCTTTTAGTTTGTTTGAATGGTCCTATGAGCGTACAGTAAACTCTATACCGCGCTCACCATTATTCAGTTTAATTAATTATTCTCTGAACTTAACTGTTGCAAATGCAACTCATCTGTGATTGGCTGCTTTTCGTGGTGCGTTCAGGTACGTAAAGTTTTGTCACTCATCAGAAAACTGAGCTTAAAAAGACTTTTAAAATTATAGTTAAGTTACCTTACGAATAAAATACGATAAAAAACAAAGTAATTATATAAACTGAAATCACTCCCGTGCAAACATAATGTAAAACTCGGCAAATTAAAATAATTCGCATTTATTTTATTTTGACATCCACACGTTTACCCGGAAGAGAGTAACTGTAGCATGAGTCAAAGGTCCTCTCGCAAGAGTTTACCTTAGTTTTGTCTTTTATCAAAAACCCACCGTTGCGACGTCGTTCGTTAGAGAGTACATGTCCTGCATGGTGAGATGACCGTCTTTATGAAAATGTGCATTCCTTTACGCACCGGCTCTAAATATATCACAGAACATAGATGAAATACTTGACCATTTACACTATTGCTCCATTAATGGGTGTTTATGTTTTCAGTATAGGTGATTTTAATGTTTTTCTTTGTTTTCTACCTTTTAGAGCCCTAAATTTAATCTAATAACTAATCCTGCAAGAGTCCCTGACCTCTGCCCTAGTTAACCAGTATGTACTTGAAGTAACCATACTACTCTGCCCACAGGTGATGTTTCGGGGTATATCCAGCATTCTGAGGACCTACCCTGTTTTTGGCCAGAGAAGCATGTCTCAAAGCAGTCTGCAGGGGAAAGTAGCTATTGTTACAGCCTCCACAGATGGGTAAAAAAATGACTGTTTTTTTTTTTTTTTTAGCTAAAACAGAGACAGAGGAGGTGATTGTGGTTTATTGCTCTGACATATCAGCTTCCCAACACAAAGAAAACATGCAGAGGATCTGTTAGAATATTTTGCCTCTGTGTCCTTTTTTTTTTCATGGAATGTTACCAAGATAGTGTTTCAAATGCCTCAGGACTTCCAGTCTCTTGCAAAAAAACAAAACCGCTGGAGGTCATGAGGCGCCACATTCCAACACAAATAAATACAATGTGTTTAATTGGGATTTTTGTTAAAATAGAGCAGCATAAAATTGTAAGTAGTTGTGATGTGAAGGGAAATAAATAATATATGCATGAAATGGTTTTCAGCCTCCCCAGTCAATGCGTGGTAGACACTCTTCGCTCTAATTACATCTGCAAGCAGGCTTGTACAAATAAAACTGGAGTTTTAGCTCATTTATTGTGAAATAAACATCTCTCAGTCTGTAAATGTCAGTTTTAAAGTCTTGCTAATATTCCAGTAGTGAAGAGGCGTTGATAAGTATTAAAAGATATGATCATCTTAAATTTAAAGCTATCTACAAGCAAGTTAGTTTATTAGTTTATTTAACGTCTTTCTGTCACTAGTCTAGTATTTCTCATTTTAGGAAAAGATAAATCAAAACCTTATTATTTATAACCAGCTTATTTATGTTTAACAATGTTTTCTTTAGAGATGCACTGATCCATCTTTTCCAATCCAGTCTGATTTCGATACATGGGCCGATATTCGATACCGATCTGATTCAACTATTGAATGAATAAATCATATATCTTACCATGTGAGCTTTGATATAAACAATGTTAGAAAAGGTAAAACATAAACACAGATATAAATGTATAAATAAATCCAGTTAAATAGTCAAAATCAGAGCCAATATCCAGTTCAGGTATCGGATCGGTGCATCCCTAGTTTTTTGTTGTTGTTTTCGATAATTCACCTAGTTAAAAAAACAAAAAAGACCACAAATAAATCATAAGGGTATAAATGTAGGTTTCTAAAACTTGCTGAAACCTCATTTACTGTTTATAGTAGCTGTTCAGTCGGTGGAGCCTTGATAAATAAGCTTCTTTCTCCCTGCTAAAGAAAATAACCCCATTGCATGATGCTGCCACCACCATGTTTCGTGTATTTAGGCTGAGGTGCAGCCTTGTATTAACACTGAAATGACTTCTAGCCTTTATGTCACTGAGCAAACTTAAAAGATAATTGGTTGGGCCTGATTTTATGCGGTGATGTCAGGGTTGGAATACTAATACCCTAATGTTTTCAACCCCATGTATATTTCTCCATCCACTTCATAGCTCGACTTGTTGTTTTCCTGTCACATAAAATCCCTTTGAAATGTGTGGTTGGGATGAGATGAAACAGGCATGGAAAGTTCTAACAAATCACTGCTTCTCTCATGATAAGCCCGTTGCTTTTTTTGTTTTTAATGCTGGCTCTCTCACCCTTTTTCCCCAGAATCGGCCTGGCTGCAGCTCAGGCTCTGGGAAAGAGAGGGGCCCATGTGGTCGTAAGCAGCCGGCGGCAGTCCAACGTGGACAAGGCTGTGGCTTTACTGCAGAGCCAGAGCATCCAAGTAACTGGAACCACATGTAATGTCGGCAAAGGGGAGGACAGAGAGAAGCTGGTTCGACTGGTGGGTTCTAGTGTCTTTAGTAGAATACATTCTGGCTTTCTGCAGTTATTAATCCAATAATGTAATCAAAGCATTAAACAATCTTCTGTATATCTTATGACATTTATCCACTCAATGGAAAATTTGACTAAAATCTTGGATTATAACTGAAATAAGTTCTTTTTTTTCATACTAACCTCAAACATTTCCTGTGGCTGCAGATCAGACCTGTAGAAAGCTCTGCTCAGGGGGGGGGGATAGATGCACACATTCAGCTGAGATCCTTTCTTTCCTAATGTGATGTGGAGAGATCTGGCAAAGAGATTCCAAGAGGCCTCCTTCTGTGCAATTGGGGCGGCACATTTTCTTTGTCTGCAGACATTCAGATGGTTTCCACTAATGCCTAACGTTGTAATGAGTCGGCTCAGGCTTTCCAAGTTCCCTTCACTTCATATTTAAAGCCTTTCTTTCAAGGACAGAAGCCCTTTAAATGCTTCAGCAGATCATAAACCTTTCCACAGCAGAGGTGAGATTCGGGGTACAACTTGGAAAAAACCCCAAGAAGGCTTCCTGCCCCTGTGAAGGGTTTCCATGGAAACCATGTCTTTATAAATGGTTTACATCCAGTAGACCCAAGTTCCTTTTATCTCCCTATTTCTGATGTAGATCTATGGCCTCCAGATGTGTCCTTTTTGTGGAATTTCTAATTCCAGGATTTAAGTGTTTAGTTTATGATTGTGTGTTTCATTTAGACGGTGGATCAGTGTGGGGGGATCGACATCCTGGTGTCCAACGCAGCGGTCAACCCTTTCTTTGGAAACACCTTAGACTCCACTGAGGAAGTCTGGGACAAGGTAAAAAAAAAAACATGAAGGAAACATATTATTCATAAAGGTGGAAGATTTTGAAGTGTCCGAACCTCTAACCTTATGTTGTATTGGGACTTTATTGGGTCAGTGCATGGCTGTGAGCCTAAGGGGAAACGATGCATGGTTTTTAAAGTCTATATAAATATTAATCAGCAAAGTGTGATAGACATTTTTTTTATTATCTTAACAGATTTAGCATTTTCTTACTATATTTGCTCAATCTTCCATGAAAATTAGTAGGGCTGGGTAAAAAAAAAATCTATTTTGGATCGATTCCTTTAAATTTTTGCAAAATCAATGTGTAGGGAATGAGAGAGATTAGTTTTATAGTGCGTGACGTTCACGTTCAAATGAGCAGGCGTGTGCAAATACCGACACAAGTAGCCCACCGCTCAGCAAGCTGTCCAAACCCAAGTCTGATGTTTGGAACCATTTTGGATTTTAAACAACTAAAGATAATGTGCTGGATAAAACACACATTGCAAGATCTGTAATGTGGAGGTCAGTTACTGTAGATGCTACAAATCTCAGAAATGAATTGACAAGATATTGCGCTATGCTAACATCCGACAATAAACCTTCCAGGGCTAAACGTGAGGCTTCAGTTTGTTTCACTTTTCACTACTAGTTTGCACTTTTGAGATAGTTTTGTTTACATCTCAAGTGTAAACTATCTGATTTACAAGTTTGCATGTTGTGTTTGATATGAAAGGAAAGGAAAAAATAAAAAACATGAGTATTGTAAAAACACAGTTGAACCACTTTCATTCCTGTAAAAACAGATAGAAAATAATCAGTTCAGAACCGTATGAATCGAAATCGAATTGATTAAGGACTTTGGCTGAAATACCCAACCCTAATAATTAGCTCCAACTCATTCGGATTGGACCTAGAGCGCTCCTGATCATGCATTTGTAAAGCGGTCATTCTGCAACATATTACTGCTCAGTTGGAGTTGATTCATTCTGGTTCTGGGAGGTTTCAGGTCATTTTCAAACCGGGCAACACTCTAAAACAAAAACTGGTTCACCCCAAAGATAAGACACCCAGAACAAGACAGAAAACATGGTTTACGCCGTTCAATGTAGTAAGGAGTGCACAGATCTGTACATTGTAGACACCAAGCAACCGCTACACAGGCGCATGGCTCAACACAGGAGGGCCAACTCCTGAGGACAGGACTCAGCTGTTCACCTACACCTGAAGGCTAAAGCACACTCGTTTAAGGACAACAGCGTCCATATTCTGGCCGAGGAAGAAAGATGGTTTGAGCGAAGGGATAAGATTCTTTGTCAAAGGTGCTTTAGGAGATCTTGGACAAACGTTTCCAGCAAGCTGTATTTTTAAACACAACCATCCCTTCAGACAACCCCACAAAAACCATGCCTTCAAAACACATAAACGTGCATGCTGTCTGCAGCGCGCCTAGAGCAGCGCACCGCCCCTGTACAGGGGTCTGAGCGACTTCGACAGAAATAATATTTGAAGGCAGGATGGTAATCTGGATGAACTGACTTCACTGACGATGTTTTCAGGTGGACTTTCTCATTTCAAAATAGATTCTAACTGGTTTTTACCCGCTGATCACAGCATTATAGCTGACATTGTTACAGGCAAAGAAAGGATAGGGTAGCTCCACCCAATGCGCATCAGACCCACTTTTTCCACCGCGCAGCCAGAGCAGCAAAGATGCTTCAGCCGCGTGTCAAAACTAAACTTGTACAAGCATCAAAAATGAAGCAGCACCATTTTGCTGCTCTGCTGCTTTAGGTGTGAACAGGAATGACCAGATGTCCTCTTTTTCCTGGACATGTCCTACTTTTCATACCTAAATAAAAAATGTCCGGGGGAAATTTCAAAATTGTCTGGGATTTATTAAGAAGAACAGAGCCGTGAGCTCCGGGGCTGGGGACAGAATCACCAACAGGACCCGGTGAAAGTAGCCTGGACACGGGCGGCCCCGTGCATACCATCACCGGGTCGTGTAAACGCAGCATGACATTGGCTAGCTTCCAGCCATGGCGTCCTGCACGAGCATTGGGGGGTCGCTTCGTTCATGTGTCAGGGTACACACACAGGGGGGAGGGTCAAGAAGATGACCATGAGTGACGTGTCATGGAGCCAATCGTGTACAACGGGCCGTCTTTTGTGATTGGTTGGGGTTAGTCATTGATTTCGCACTGTAGCTGGGACCATTTATTTTAGTTTCACTTCCAGACCTTCTATTTCACTGCTTGCTAAGCGGCTGTGTGGAGATCTTTAAGCCACGAGGTTAAAAATGTGTTAGAAAAGATCTCCTAGTGCACCTTTAACCCGGAAAAAAAACATCTCTTAAAAGAGGAGGTAGTCTTAGACATAACCTTTCACCCATCTACGAAGAAATTTTGGAACAATACCCAGAAGATTCACCTCCAATGCACCCTCAACTGACTCACACTTCATTGATGCTCTGACGAAGGAGTTAACGACCCATCGGAACCAGCTAACGACCTTTAACACCCCCCATTGTGACCTCCTTGGCCAATCCACTGGACAGATTAAAGTCACATTTTGTCCCCCCGTTTTCTTTTCTAATATACCGACAGTATATTAATCTCAGTTCTCCCAACCACTAGATAGAACTGAAAAGCCTCTTGGATGAGAGGTGAAATGTCTTCTAGAAAACTTCATGCCCAGTGACCTAAACTGAACTTTTTCAAGCCATTTTCTCAAGAAAAACATGTTTCAGTAATCTTTTAAATAATTTGTTTCTTACTCAATTTTTTTCTTACAAGTTGGTCGTTTTTGTTTGTACTGAGGTCAAAAAGTTCCCTTTTGTTCTCATAAGTCCAGAGTTGTCAGCTCTGCTCCTTGGTCTTTTTAATGCCGTTTATTAACAGATATTCTCTAATAAAACCTCAGGTGCTTTCACACAGATAAAACTACCGACCGGTGGATTCTCACTATTTAGATTACTTATTAAAGGAATTGTATATATTTGACTTTTTAGGTGTCAAAGTGCGCAGCATTCCACTCTCCAATTTCTTTAAAATCGTCCCTCCATTTCACAGTCATGCTTTGTTTTGTGCCTCTTTGAAATAAAACCCAGTTAAAACCTCATGTCATCTGACAAAAATGTTAAGATTAAGGAGGACGGAGGCTTTTTGCAACATCATTTACACACATTGAAAACAAATATTTCTGTTTTACACTTTTTTTGCAAGCTTAATAACAATGTTTTTGTTTTTTTTCCAGATTTTGTCTGTAAATGTCAAATCAGCCTTCCTCCTGACTAAGCTGGTGGTGCCTCACATGGAGAAGAGAGGGTGAGGGCAGAAGGGAAGCAGTTAACCTCTGATGTTGTGATCTGCAATGGTTCTGATGCATCTGAATTTCTCTTTCAGAGGAGGAAACATAATATTTGTGTCCTCTGTGGCTGGATACCAACCGATGCAGGTCAGATAAGATGCATCATCAGAAATATTGGGTGTTAAAGTTTAAACATCTCATGTTTTCGCAATATTTTCCCCTATTAAGTACAATACTGACCCGAACATAGGACGACCCTGATAATAAGATGATCCCCTCTTTCTAGGAACAAAACAAAAAGACTAAAAAGAATAAAAATAGACTATTTTAATTAACTATTTTATGTTGAAGAGCTAATGATTTCATTGAAATAGAATAGAAAATCCCTTTATTGTCCCACATTGGAGACATTCAGGGGTTTACAGCAGCAGAACGGTTATAAAAAAATGGTCACACAAAATGAATGATTGCACTGAAAGATTTGTGCATTTAAACAATAGAAAGTAAAAAAAAAAAACACAGTAATGACACATTTAAGGGAAATCTTGCAACACTTCAGCTCGAATGCACTCTGAACTTTGCTCACAGAACGTCTCAAAACCTGCATGAGGCTTTTCCTCACAGACGGCCTCTGCCTCACTGCACTCCTCTCACCCTGCAGCTCTGCAATTTTTTGATAAACATTTCTTTTGCTGTTTGCATTTTTATGGTCTTTTTGAGCGTGCCATCCTCTGACATTGCACTATATAATTCAATATTTCTTTGGTGCCTGACAGCTGTTTGATGCCTCCACTGCATTGACGATCCGTTATTTTGATATTGGCGTCATAACTCTGCCTCAAATGTCTGCAAACTTGTCTGACTTTTAATCCACTTCATTTTGGGCAGCAACTCTCCCTTTGTAGCATCCTTGTCACTTCTTCTCTTTGTGATAGAAAGACAAACCCAGCCAGTTTTCTATTTCAATGAGATCATTGGCTTTACAAAAAACTGGCGCCCTCTGCTGACAACTGTCATTCTGTGTAATTGGTTAGACCCCGATTATTAGGCGGCTTAACATTTTGACAGTTTCTAACGAAAATCTTCCCTTATACTTGGACCAATACAGTATATCAATGGACCACTGTGTTTCCAAGTTGTTGTACACCCTGGAAAATATGTAGGAATGTGATTTGAAATACACAATGCATAGCGCCATTGAAGCAAGTAATTTGAATATATTTATGTGACGGGGAAAAACATTTTTACCAAAAATCGCATGTGCAATATTTGGTGGCTCTGGCTGATTAGTTTGTACAACCCTCCTCTTCCTCTCCATTAATCAGCACTCTGCTCTTCCTCTTTCTGATTCTATGATCAGATCTTGGGACTGGGATTATCCTGCATTAATTCATTATCTTCATTTAGATTTTCTTTGGAGATTTCTCTGAGCCATGAACTTTAACAAAGTTACCAGTTTTCTGAAGAAATATAGTCCAACAGCACCATAGATCCTCTGCCGTACTCTGCCATTGGTGGCGCCCTTCCAGGTGTTTATTGTTTAAAAGGCTCAATTTTAATCATATCAGTTGCTCTGCTAGTGGATACAAGCCTCTTTAGAAGAATAACCCTCTGTCTTCATGAATAGCTTGTTTTGTTGTCTAACCTATTAAATTAAAAAGTGTTGCACATGTGATTTCAAATGAGCGATCTTCTCCCAGTTCTTCAAATGTGTAAAGGTTCTGTTTTGTGCAATATAATGCTTTACCATTTAAAAAAGGGTTTTAAGACATCTTTCCCAGATATGTAAAGATATTTGGAGGAGTGAGTTTGTCTTCTGGGTTCAGTAAAATGTAGATTAACTGCTTCTCTGCAGGCTCTGGGCCCCTACAGTGTGAGTAAGACTGCCCTGCTGGGGCTAACCAAGGTGCTGGCCCCTGAGCTGGCTCAGAGTAACATCAGAGTGAACTGTGTGGCCCCTGGAATCATAAAGACGCGCTTTAGTTCTGCGGTGAGAACACAAACACGTACACGTTTTGGACTTTAAGGCCTATGGTTGTTGATCGCTCTATGACGGTTTGATTTTTGTTCCAGTTGTGGGAAAACGAAGACATTTTGGACGAGTTCAAAAAGCAACTCAGCATTAAAAGGTGAAGCTTAGTTTAACAAATATTTTATATAAGCTGCTGAATTCATGTAATATTTCACTTTTTCCTTTATGTCTCTTCAGAATCGGGAAACCTGAAGAAATCGGAGGGACGATAGCTTTCCTGTGCTCAGATGAGGCTTCCTACATTACAGGAGAGACCATCACAGTGACGGGAGGAATGGGCTGTCGACTCTGAACCCTGCTGACTGAGCCTTAGACCCGTTTATGATCTTCTATTCTTCAAAGTGATTGTTGTTAAAAAACAAAACAAAAAACTAAGATATTATGGATTTAAGGTGTTTTTTTTGATAAGATTATATTTTCTCAAGATCACGGATCATTGTTCAATGTTTATTCCTTGTATTTATGCATCCTCAGTCATTAGAATCAAGGTAGTAATTCAAAAAATAAGCATTTTCTAAGTTGCAGATATAGCTGTGCAGAGTCTAAATAGCATGAGCTTGATTTTATATTTTGTTTTTTTTAAATCACTGATGACTGAAATGTTTGGAAATCTATTTTTCCCACTAATTATACTTAAAACAATGAAACAATAATAAGCTTTCACTCCAATTCAGAATCTTTATTAGTTAAGCACATATAAGGATTTTAATTACCTCAAAACTACATAAAAAAAATCAAGTGAATATACATGTAAAGAGCAATAAAAACATAAGAGTCTATGAAAAGTCACAGTGCTATTTGTGGGTTGTTTTTATACTTTCAACTTCTTCCCAAGTTAACTTTTTTTATATCACAAGTCGGGTATGGTTTTAATATCCCAGCAGCACGCCATGACCTCCTTTCATCACCTGCGTTTGCTGGCGGAGGACAGCAAGTTCGGTCGGGTCATTGTAGGTTTCCAAAACTCCCTCAGGGTGGGAACATATGTGCCATGTTTGGTCTTGTAGTAACGCTTGATGAACAGCTGGGGGAGACAGAGCACAAAATGAAGTTTGACAGCTGACAACTTTGAAGTTTGGAAATATGTTTGACTGATGGCTAGAAAATCAGAAAAAGTAATTGAGATAAAACATTTGAACAGATTGAGATTTAATAAATCTTTATATAAAATATGTAATTCATTTTTTGATTTTTTTTAACAACATCCTGACCACCTCAGAATCCAGAGGGCTGTTACACAAAATCAAGATGGTGGATTAAACCTGGCTTTTCCAGATATCTTGGCTTAAATAAGCCTCCACTCAGTTTCACCAATCCGTTACCATGGCGATTTATTCTGAGCAGCTCTTTTCATTATTCTAACAGCCAGGCTTAGCTGATCCTGGGGCCTTATTCAGTCAGTCACCGCCAAGATAAGTGCCATCCAAACAGTGCTGGCAGCCAGGAAGGGTAGGAAGACATTATTGGTAGTTCATGAAGCTTGGGGACCTCCTGACAGTCCTGTACGCTGCTTGGAATCTATACATTTGCTCCCAATCCTACTCAGATGGATGATTATTCCACTAAACCAAAACCTAACAGCTGACAGATCCAAACAGGTTGCAATATTGACTCCTATTGTTTATTTATGAGTTTATCCTTTATCGTCCAGGTTGGAAGTTTGTTTCGGTAACTTGTATTAGACCCTCCTTTGTGGCAAACAAGAGAAATTGTGTGTTCAAATGTGGTCTGTAGGGGCTGCCTGTCTTAAAGGTAAATGCAAAATATTTCACAGAATACCAGCAGTAGTCCAATGTTGCATACTGCAAGATAAAAACCTTAATTTTAAAACTTTAGTTATATAACAGAGTAAAAAGCCAATTTAAACAGTAAATCATTTAAGTCTCTGTATCAGCATTGACATACTGAGGATTATCTTGCAACAAAAATTATTTTCTTTCTATTAAATTTTTCTAGAATTTCTTACAGAAGCACATTTTGCAGTTTTTTTCTAAAAACCATATATTTATTTGGTAATTACATTGACCTTGAGTTTTTTTTTTGACCTTGAGTTTTTTTTTTTTTTTTACCTCGAGTTCTGTTTATGTTAGAAAAGCAATAAGGCCTAGTTTTAATGGGCGGGCTTTAAAGGGCTGATAGTTTACAATTTCAGAAAATAAAAACTAAGTAGTATTTCATGCGCACGAAATACTATTTCGTGGCCACAATTAAAAATTTTTTTTGACCATGTCATCAGAGGGGCTCCGTAGGATATAAATGAATAGAATGATGCAGACATTCATAGACTAACAGATGGACAGAATGATAGATCCAACCCCTATGATGTTCCAGTTGTTAGCTTGTTTTCTTAGTAATTTAGAAATCCCCCCCCATTTTCCAGCTACTGGAGTGACCCCCTCTTGCATATTATTATTATTTTTTACAGCGATTCCACCCTTTCACTGAATTACAGGTTCTGACCAGGAAATGGTGCTTCCCTTTAGATCTTAAAGTCCACAAATCATGATGGAAAGAATATTTTTTTTTTATTTTTCAGTTTAGTGGCTTGTTTTTTGGGGTTTTTTTTTTGACAGTAGGCTGACAGGAAAGGGGGTATGAGAGAGGGGGAGAGACATGCAGCAAAGGACCAAAGGCCAGATTCAAACCCGGGTCGCCCGCGTCGAGGACAGAGGCCTCCTGCACACCCCCCAGAAAGAACATTTTAGTAAAAATATTTATATTTAAAAAGGAATTGAAGGGGGATCAGCCAAGGAAAGTGGGGACATTTTGAATGGCTACTACTGTATCCATCTTACAGTTTAAAACACGCAAAAAAACTGTCTAAAATTATAAACTTAACACCAAAGGTGGATGACAAGAAAACAAAAACAAAAATGCATTTAAGCCCTTTTGTTATATAAAACCAATAGGACTTAAGTGAATATCAAATATTTTCATTCCTTACATCATGACTGTATAACAACTGTGCATAAATGTAATTTATGTGAAGGAAAATATCACCAATAACGTTTGGAGCATACATACCCTCCCTTTGAAGTTCTTCGATGCCTCATCCTCAGAATCCGCTACGTAGTCGTCTGCTGTCACAGCCATCGTCTCTAAAAGCAAAAATACCAGATTAAATTCAAGTTTTTTCCCCCATCAATTTCAATCAGTCATTGAAGGTTTTAAATCACCTTCATGATCCCTCTGCCGGCTAGAGGAGCTGCTTCCACTGGATACAACAGGACGATTTCTGTCGGGTGAAAAAAACGAAGTGTTTGGTAACTGCAGACAATGAGAGCTCAGGTTTCAGGTTAATTTAATGCATTTAACTCATCTAATGTATGACAATTAACGGATGAGCCGAGAGAAATAAATATTTAACATTTCAATTTAGAATCCATGCTATTAATTTGAACATTTAATCATAACAAGTTGGTTTTTATTTTTCTGATTCACCAATTAAGAGTTTTTATGTCCAATTCCTTTTAGAGTGAAACTGACCAGGATTTTTTAACCATTGCATCTTCTCAATATACCGTAATGAAAAAGAATTTCTAGAGCCTGGATAGAATGAGAGCTGCAGTGTTCAAACATCAACGCTTCTGGAAAAACACAGATTTCCCTGCAAATCTACAATACAGTGAAGTCACTCGGATTAACAGGCAGCTAGAAAGAAAGAGAGCAGGTTTCCTAACAGCCGTAACCTTTCTTTGTTTAACAATCATTTTAGAAGTAACAGCTGTGTCCCACTAAGGGAAAACAAAGCTTTTTATTAATGTTTTACTAAAGCACCACCTCCTGTAACAGCTTGAATGAACTGGATCCACAGGAAATACAGTTTCACTTCTTTAATCTTTGCTTCTTCATGTTTAAACACCTGATTAAAAACCAACTGACTTTGATTTGATGAGTGTTGTTGTCAATCTAATAGTGCTAAGCTATGGCAGCTTAACTGATTTGGTAAATTACTGGTTTTTATAGTTTCCTACTCGCTGGTCTTGTGTGAAATCTAGGGATCCCAATCTGCTTTGCAGTTTAATATTCAACATTTTTTCCCTAATTAGATTACCATGTTTTGTTTGTTAATTTTTTACTTTAGAACACTGAAAACATGAAAAACTATTTGAACAATATTCATAAACCTCTAAAGTGGAAGAGAAATTTCCTCCATTTTAAATCTGGACTCAGATCTGATTCATTTCAAACTACAAGGCAGACTTATGGAAACGAAACTGAATTATCTCACAATACATATCATTTTAAAAATGTCATCCTTTGGTAAAAACTTTGATGTCAGACCTTGAGGATAAAAGATACAACCTAAATAGTAGTTATAACATTTTCTTTATTGATATTATTCATAATTTCTTATGATATTAATCCTTCTCTTTGTCAGCCTCTTGATAACAGAATAAAAGGCAAACAGTTTAAACAAGCTTTCCTTTTTCATACTAAGCATATTATTGAAAGCAGATCTGACATTTCCAGATCTTACAGCATGGCATGAACCCTGAGAATCTTTTTGCTCCTGTTGGTAGAGTTGTTGGTGTTTTCTTTAAATATGTTATAATCACATTCCTGCTCTAGATATAAAAAACAGACTTAATGGTAATTAAATGATAACATGGATCAACAACAAAGATGATCAACAAAACCCAGAGCATAAAAAACTGATTTCCTTAGATCTTCATTATTCCTCAGCCTTACTCTTTATCATCCAGACCAGGACTTTCAGGTGTTCTTTTCCACGTTGAGGACTTCTTTCTCTGCTTCTGCTTGTTAAAGGACTTCTTCTCTCCTCCAGACAAGCCGTCGCTAACAGAGGAAAAGGACAGTTTGTGGACAATCACTCTGGGATTGCTGCTGAGACAGGAAGCCAGCATAGAGCAGAGAGACGGATCTTCAGGCAGGTGGAGTTTTTCGATGCCGAGCTTGTTTATATAACAATTCAGCAGTTCTCTGTTGCAGCCGTTGTTCTGTGCGGTGTGTGATCTCTCTTCCTCGGTGTCGCCGATTCTCTGGTTCCTGTTTATCCTTTTTCCTCCAGGTGTATTCTCAGAGATCTCTTCCTCCTCCGAGTCGCTTCCTGCCGGTTCAGGATGCTTCCGTTTCCTGGGATTGAGGGGGCTCCTCTCCTCATGCACCTGCTCCACCTCCACAGGCTGCGGCTTCTGTTTAACCAGAGTGAATTTCATATTTGGACTCTGTTGACCATATGTTGGGTCGTTTGAACTGGACCCCTGAGCACCTTGCAGGGTTTTTTTCTTGGCAGAGATCATGGCTGGAACATCGTCGTTAGAAATGAGTCCGATAACAGGCCTAATAAACGGCGCCTCTCCTGGCTTTGAGCCGTTTGTCCGCTCAGGGGCAGACAAACTGACCCCTGTTGGTTGGTTAGACGGGACTTTTCCAGATGGAGGCAGAGAAAGAGAAGCCAGGATAGAGTCCCCCATGTTTGGGGGAAGAGACGCTGTGAAGGAAAAACCAAAAGCAGTTAGGGGTCAGTAGAGCTTTGGGTTCCTGCATATATTTTTCTGTTAAAATTTCATCGATTTCCATAATAGAATTCTTTGGATTCACATTTATTTTATTTTGGATACAAAGGCAGATCAATAGAGAATCAGCACCAAAGCTGACTGGATGGAGAAGCAGCTTAAAGCAGGAAAGGATACTTTATTTCCAGTTTTACATACCTATTCAAACTTCAATCTAATTCCATATTATACAAAGGTTTCTGTACACAGATCATTATAAGACAGGGAGGTTCCAGCACCTAAGCCCAACAATAATAGGCAACCATAATGTCTGAAACAGGGAAATAAACCACTGATGGCTGCAATTAAACAAAAATGCAAATACAAAACCCCGTACCTGCAACTGAGGGGGAACTGCTATTAAACGCATGCAAGAGTGCGCACGAGCCAATTTCTCCTCGGCCACGCTCTGTTTAAAAGTTGCCATTTGCATCGTTCATACACACTTACTTTCCAAAGGAAGATTTGCAATTTTTCCACTATGTTAAGACTCACCACTGGTTAGGGAAAATGGTGAATGACGATCACGTAGGAGAGCCTTACGTAAACATCACTAAAATGATTGACAAATAGGAGGACCACATATTTTGATGATCCACCGGGAAAAAGAACATCCTCCACTTTACCTTTAACATCTGCTAACACTGGATTTACGATCAATATTTTATAACAAAAAACGTACTTGTTTGAATTCAAATTTGTGTTCTACAGCAAGGTCAACTTTATTATTAGTATTTATTTTCCCTTTTAAAGATTCCTACCAAATCGAGGTCATGCTACGGTGAACAACAATTATCCTGTTTAAAGTTTAAAGGCTGAAACCAATGCAAAAAAACAACAAAAAACATAAAGAAGTCTTCAAATTTGTCTTTCCAATCTCTTATCAAATGTAACGTAAAATATAAAAAAAACTAAATGAATAAAACAACATTATTTTCTTTTTCATTAATGACAGTCATCTTTTAAGGTCTGTAATTTAGGGCTACAACTAACGATTATTTTGCAAATCGATCGATCTGTTGATTATTTTTTTTAGTTAATTATGAGACAGCCAGAGGTTCCATAAAGAAGATTTTTTTATGAAAATAAACAGAGAGAAAATAAAAGGTTTCCATTTGAGGAGTTCTGGATAGAGCATATTGACAGACAAAAACATTTTTTTTTTCTTAAAGGAATAGTACACCCAAAACATGA